AGAAAAATAATTCAAAGTGCTCTGGGAAAACGGCAGCTGTATCCTTACAGCTCGTGTCTCCTGCCTGTAGGTCCCAGCAGCCATGGCACGAGGCAGTCCCATCTGCAGTGAGCAGCTCTGTTCAGATGCTTCCCTCTGTCAGTGCTGAGCACAACAAAGCCCTTACAGCAGTGCAGGACCAGAGACATTTCATTTATCCCACGTGCTGTCAAACTGCTGGCAACAGCCGGGTAAGGATAGAGCTGATGCTGGATGTCATAGAAGTGGTGTTACTACAAAAATATCTTATGGGAGCTAATATTTAACAGGAATTACTTACAGTGCTCCCAGTACCAAAGATTTCCCAAACAATCTTTTTTTGTGTGGCAGATTTCATTTAAGATATGCACACAATGAGGTTTTCTCATTACTTTACTTTCTTCTTCTATCTCACCAGAATTTTAGATTTGCAAAGAAGAAAAGGTGAAAAATGCTGACTGTAAGAAATTCCTCTGGTAACTTTAAGATTCTGCACGCCAACAGGTCAGGTAAGTAGCAGCTCAGCAGCAGAGCACATGAAGAGCTGGGACATTCTAAGGGTAAAGATCTTGAATCAAAAAAGCCACCAGTTTAAAAGACAGCAGCCAAAGCACACCACCACCACCTGAGAACCAGGAGAGTGTGTGCAAACGCCATTTTGAGAGGGCAGCACACGAATGCTCTATGCAAAATACTAAAGATGTCCTTCTAGGAACATTTCAACAGGACACGTCTCCCATCTTTCTGCTTTTAGGCTGACCTAAGAAGCAGTCTGAAGGATTTTGTGGATTATTTGCATCTTCAGCTCAAAGTGAGCCACTCAAGATCATTTTTAATAGGCTCACTGCCTTAGATACTGCTTGACTCCAGGGGATTGTACAGGTACTGCAGCAACAAGCAGCCCAGTGGTTTGTTCTTGTCAACTTCCCACCCTTGTTAGGAGCTCAGACATACAAAATTCCCTGTGGCTCTAGACAGTCATTTCCACTTCCACAGGAACTGAAGTCCTCAAAGAACAGCTAAATATTTTAACTTGGGCATCTTCAAACATGCTATTTCCATCCCTGTATCTTTTGACTAAGTCTGGATTTTGCTATTTCACTTTTTTTTTTTCCATCTCTTGGCTGAGAAACATCTGGGCTCACAAGACAAAAGCAGAGCTCACTGGTGAGACTGGCCATGGGAGCAAAGTGATTGCACAAGCGTGTCCTTAGTTACAACTAAATACCCTAAAATGTGACTACTACAAAAATACTGCTGCCAGCTGCTTTTCCCTAACACTTAGCTGAGTTACAGTCAAAGCTCTGAAAGCCAGGAGTGAGGAATTTATCACTGACCTCTGCAATGCCCTTCAAAGCATTCTTCACAGGGCTCCATGTGGGATGTGAGCAGTGTGCTCAGACCCACGCTCCTGCACCTGGCTGGGCTGCTCAGAAGGCCACAGGGTCAGTGGCAGTGGGCTGGCTGAGCATCTGCTGTGGGTTGGTAGAAACAGACTTCTTGTGATAAGCCATTAAAAGCATGGAAAGTAATCAAATGCTCAGAGAAATGTGGAGAAACAAATAAGCTCAGATAGGTGGCTCCATTTCTATTTTGAAGTTCACGTTTTTGTCATGACCACCCTGCGGGCAGCTCTGCTAGCTTTTTCCAATACGTTCAGGATGTGCCTTAAGTGGACAACCTTCACAGACTCACTGGCTCTTAAAATGGTAAACTAACGAAGAGAAGTTCTATCAAACACTTCAGTGACATTTCCAAGACAGTCAGGGTGATGCATTTGAACACACAGCTTGCTGGGCTAATCCTGATACAATGTTAGCAGTTGTGAGTCTCAGAAATCACCAAAATATGTCATTTGGGGGATTTCTGGAAGGCTCCTATCATCATTAATGTATGTTACTGCTGCTGCAGAAGTTGTCGTTAATCTTTCTTGTTTACAAGATGCCCACAGCTTAAAGCATCCCTACATTAGGGTAAAAATGTATTCACAGCCCTTCTTAGGAACTGCCCAGTCTATCTGTAACAGGCAAAGCTCCCAGAACCAAATCAACTGTAACTAACAGCATCAAGTGCTGATGTCTGCGTAACAACCACTCAGATAAATACTCTATGAGCCAAATCATCCCTATTAAAGACTAAATGCTTCACTTCCCAATTTTTCAGTGTACACATATTTACCTTCACTTTCATTTAAAACATTGTTAGTAACTTTCCAGAACAGTTTGTGAAAGGAAGTGGTCCTCTGAGAATACTCTGAAGCTGTCCTAAATCAGGGTTTGGTATCCATTACAGCCTTTCAACTTCCTCTGTGGTTATACAGATAAAATCACAGCCTACAAAATAATCTGTATAACATTTCATCTGCAGACTGATCAGCTCTCCCATAAAATATTTGCATGGTGCCTCTGTTTAATTTAGAATAAGTCATGTAAGTGCTGGCAAGATTGCTCCATCTCTTGCCAACAAAACAATTTTAGATGCTGAATAATCAATCAGTGTTCGATATTGCTTAACTGCAGTTCCCTCTGGGATATGCAAGAATGGAAAGTTTCACTGTAAAAGCCAAAATCCAATAGAATTGCTCAAAAAAAAAAAAAAAAAAAAAAAATAGAAATGAATTATTAGAACTACATTTTTCACATGGAAGTGGAGCATTTCCAATACAATTTACAAGCAAATCGGTGGATTCATGACAACTAATGGGCCATTTAAGAATTCAACTCTCTGAAAGCAGCACTGAATAAAGAGATAGAAAGGACCAAACTGACCAAAAGGAGTTCAGCTCAGATTGACAGATCTTAGGATATTTTCTGCCTTTCTCCCCAGCTCCCCGTAGCTCTGGCAGGAGTGATGGTGCTACAGCTTCCTAGCACTCTTCTCCTAGGCAAGATTTTAAGAGACAACCGATGTTCACTGAAGGACATGCACAGCACTGCGCGCTGCTGGGACACAGAGCCTGCAGGTACTGCTGGAACCTGCTGCAAACAAATGATGGCTCTTGCTAACGCGTGCGCCCTGCCAACCAGCCCAGAGCACAAAGTGCAGAAAGAAGGACATCACCACCTTCTTCGATGAGAAAAAAACAGAGCCACACTCTTTAATTCTGGAAGAGCTAAGTCAGTTGAGAAGTAAATAAGGAACTCTACACTGCAGAAAGATTTAACCTGGTTTCCTCTCACTTACCATGTACAGCTTACAGCTGCTACTTGTCACTACTGTTCAGATCTTTCTGCCTCAAGAACTCCATTTCTCTTTCAGAAATTCCCATGACAAGATTTCTGTTTAAGATCACTCAATGCAGAATTGCTTGCAAGGAGAGCTTTGTTTGAAAGAGTAACTGAGAATGAATTGGTATGTAATTGCTTTGCACAAAAGGAAACATCATTTCTGGAGAAGGACAGCAAATCAACACTGCAGGATGTGGAGGGGTCTTAATGTTTGATTTGCTGTCTGTGAAGAATTTTCAGTTATGCGACAAGGGCAGGAAAGGCCCTTCTTGTCCCATTTTCTCCCAGAGCTTTTTGTTTGTTTGTTTGCTTTGAGTTAGATGGCCCTCGCAGTATGAGGGCTCAAACCTTATGCATTTACAGGGATACACCACTCAGGCACAGTTTTTGTGCATTTGCTTATTTCTCTTTTGCTTTACCGTAAGAAGCCACGTACAATTCGAACCTGCACGCATCGCTCAGCACGACGACAGGACACTAAGCGCATGGCTGCTTCAAAGTACGTTAGCGCTGAAACAAAACCAAAGAAGCCGCAGCCCGCACCCGGCTGTCAGACACGCGCACAGGGAGATCTGCGGAGCGCTTGCTGATGCAGGCGCTTCCCGAAAGAAGGCACAGAAAGCGGAACGAGTTCCCGCACACTCCGCGCTCCTCCCGCGCTGCACACAGCCCCGCGGGCCGCTCCCTCAGCCCGTGCTGACGCCTCTCAGGCCCTCGCCCGCCCCGCGCCACCGCCCGGCTCCGTGCGGAGCGGGCACAGTGGCTCACCCGGCCGCAAGGAGCCGCCGGCCCGGCCCCGCTTCCCTCGAGCACGACCCACGCCGCCCGCCCGCGCCCCGCTGCCGACCCGGCCCGGCCACACGTACCTCCCCCGGCGCGGCGCGTCCCGCTCCCGGGGCAGCGGCCAAGATGGCGGCGAGGCCCGGCGGCGCGCGGGGCCGCCCCCCGGCGGAGGCGCGGGCGGCCGGGTCGCTGCCTGCTCCGAGCGGCGAATAACGGGCGCGGCGGCGGCCCGCCCCGGCCTCCACCGCCCCGTTCCCTCCGCGGCTCCGCGGCGACCGCCGGCCTCGCGCCGCCCGCCGGCGGCTCCCGGCCTCGAGGGCAGGCGGGGGACGGCAGCCGCTCGCGGGCGCTCGGAGGACGCGGCCAGGAGGGGCGGTGTCGCCCCGGGACGGGGCCGGGCGGAGGCGGCGCGGCGCTGTCCCGTCAGGCGCCCTCGGGGCCGTTCGCTCCCCGCCTCCCGGTGGCGGTGCCGCGCCAAGCGGGGCGGGCCTAGCCGAGCCGAGCCGAGCGCGCCGCACGCTGCCCAGCGCGAAGATGGCAGCGGGGGAGCCTCAAGCCAAGAAGCTGAAGCTGGAGCCGAAGCAGCTGAGGTAACGCGCTGTGGCTACGGACTGCGCCTCACGGAGGAGCGCGGAGCGGCGCTGGGCTGCCGCTGGGTTGGAGACACGTGCGGGGCGCCGGGCCTGGCCGGGCACGTGCAGCGGGCTGCGCGCCGTGCCGCGGCTCATCGGGTCCCCTCGCGGCTCTCCGTCGCGCTCCGTTCCCGCGCGGGCGGCCGACGGCGGCGGATCCGCGCGCTGCTCCCACTGGCGGAGCCGGGCCGGGCCGGGTGGTGCGGCTGTGCCGGGCGCCGAGGTGCGGCGTGAGGAGCGCGGGGCCGGGACTGCGGCGCGGCCGCGGCTGTCTCCGCTTGTGCTCCCTCGGACGGAGACTCCGGTTGTCCAGCGGTCCCCGCGCACAGACAGGTATTTGTCGGGACATCGAGATCCTGTGGAAGTATTCCATTTGAGATAATGTGGGACGAGGTTTCGGTGCCGCTTGCTGTGCTTGCTGACGGGCGGCAGCGCTCCGTGATTGCGCCGACCAAACCCCTTTGGCTGACGGCGTGCACGGAGGCGACCCGTTCGGTTTTAATGTCATAGCAGAAATATGAAAGGGTTCTCAGTGAAGGAGTGCGATCAGAGAGCTGCGGCGGGGCTTTGTCAGTGCCATTCCGGGTGCATTTTCCCGGGATTATCGGGACGCGAATAGAATTGTCTGATACCTGATCCCCTTCCAAGTGCTCAGGTTATGAAGATTAATGACGGGAGGCCCAAAATGCCAACATCACCCCGGCGGTAACTAGTGACCCGCTCAGATATAGCGTAAAGCAATGGGCTCGGGAGCTGAAGCGAGCGTAACCCATGTCTGTGCAGACACCCGTACCGAGGGAGCTGACCCTACTCACATTGCCCGAGTCAGGGCACTTTTCTGGCGGTAGGGTGGCTTTTCAAGTCTAACAATAGTTAGCAAGCACAGCTGCAAGTAATGGAAAGGGGAAAAGGTAACTGTGCTCTGAAAGTAAATAAATGGCATACAGCAGTGTAAATTGTGAGTAAAGAGCACCAGCCATTTCCGTGACCTTAAAGTGAGGAGGGACAAAGAATTGGAACTGAGTATGTTTCTGTTTATAAAGCTTATTGGGGGAAACCGCTCTGTAACAGCTCGATGCTTAAACATAAAAAGCAAAATAAACAAAAAAAACCCCTCGTTATTGAGATACTGAATTAGAAGCGGGAAGGATGTTTGCGGTGGCATGGGAGGCCATGGTGGCATGCTCTTGCAACAACCGATAAAACCAAGAATAATAATTTTGTATGCTACACAATGGTTAAAATGTAAAAAATAACATTGTTAAATCTTGCGTACTCTGATTGCACTGAAGTTTATTTCAACAAAGGCTCCAGTCTTGTGCCGTAGGCAGAAAAATGCCATATACAGCTGATGATGGAACCAAGTCAGCGTGCTGTAGGCCCTGATTGGATGTGTGAGGTGGAGAAGGGCACTGGGCTGGCTCTGGCAGACCTCTGTGCTCCCTTGGATGTGGCTGCAGGATGTGCTGAAGCATGTTGCTGTGGGACCTTGTCCCAGGCTGAGTGGCAGAGATTCCTTGCCTTACTGTGTTTGTTATAAGGATGAGTTGTTAATGCACACGCTGGTATGTGAGCATCACTGAGAATTTTGGAGGATGACGGCTTTGTATTTGTTATGTGAAGAATTAGAATTAGAAGAGAACTGATTGCTCTTGACATCTATGTTTTACTCTTCAATCTCTTTCAGAAGACCATGCATAATGAACTGTGCAGGGATGGTCTTGCACCCTACTCATTCTACCATACAATATGAACGTGTATCTTTCTACTGCAAAAACTGTTTTAATATCGAGAAATGGCATTAAAAAGTTAAATTTCACTCCGTAATATAGCCAGCACCTTGTCAACAATAATGTTCCTCCCTTATGTTTTTAATTTGTTATTTTCCGTCCTCAAATGGTACCAGGGAGGTTTCATAGATGAATCTTTTTAGTTCCTTTTCATCCTTTCAGGCAAAGTAGAACAGAAGTGGCTCCCTCAGAGCGTAGGCCAAGCTGACCTGGTTCAGTGGAAATTCTTTGAAGGCAATGGAGGGTTGTTGGCATTGCCACCCAACAAGCAAAACACAAAGCTCGAGGCCCAAAGTGGCATTCCCAGCACAGTAATGCATCGTGCTGACATGACATCGTGCTGGGTGGCAGGTTTTGTATTGTCTTTGTTGACGGTGCAAATCCCCACTAAAACCAACAGGATTTAGGCAAGGCCGTGAATGCCTGTTATGTGTTTCAGACTTCAGACCACATCTCTGCTGTGCAAAGTAAAATATCACTGTGTGTGTAAACTGTGCCATTTGAACAGAAAGTGCGCTTGCAAAGCTGCAGTTTGTTGTTGAGCAGTGGTATCAACTTACTAGAAATGTCACGAGGGATTAATATAAAGAAGTATTAAACAGGATTTGTGCCCTTTTATATTTGGTTTGGTTGTATCTTGGAGGCCTGTGGAAACTGCAGCCAAACTTCTGTTAATGTCACGCTCGTGAAAGAATGTGAGCATTCTCTGTAGATTTGTTTGAGCTTTTGTGTGTATTTCTATGTAGAAATGTGCATGTCTGCAGAAGAAAAAATGAACCAGCTTGTGAAACCCTCCAAGGTAATGTGCCCTCTGTTACGTGATGGCCCCTTGGCAGTTCTGCAGCTGCTGTATTGATTGAATAGTTACCATGTAGCTGGCTGTTGGAACAAATTGATCTGCATGAAGACAGCGTAAGCACTGAATTTGACAATTCTGACTGCAAGTACAAAGTACAATATTCCTCTTCTTCTCTTACTACTAGACAGAATTGCTTTTCAGAGTAGATTATCAAACACTCTGTGCTGTTTTCAAAAGCAGTCACTTTGTCACTACCATTCTGCTGGATTTTAGACAGCTTGATACTGGTGACTGTAAAAAATGTTGCTAATTACATGCATTTTTAATTTCCATAATAAGCTAGGTTTTAATTTAACTTGCTCTTTCATTAGCTTTCTAAAAATGAAAGCAGCTACTGAATATTTTAAATTAGCTGTGACAAAGCTTTCAGTTAAGATTTAGTAAACCATTTTTCTTTCTAATCAGCTCTACCTTTATTTTTTTTTCCACCACGTTTTCCATTGCTGTTCTTTTCAGTTTCTGTCTTTGTTGTTTGTACTTTCCTCACTTTGCAGTTGCCCACCATCTGCAAACACAGGTAACTTTCCCTATGTCAGTGCTCCTGATAGCCTCTCAGTACAAAGAGAGATATGACTTAACACCTTATTGCGTTTGCCCCCAAGATAATAAAATCATAAGACTTCTTTTTTTTCCACATGGATACTTAGTCACCTTTAGAAAGCAAACATTTTTGAAAGATGCTAGCAACATACTTCTCTAATTTTGTCAACTGTCAAAGTTGTGCTGGTAGGAATACACCCAGAAGCGGAATGCCCCGCAGCGGCTGGTGTAACAGTTGAGGCACTTGTTTCCATTGTTTGGATCTATAACTCAAATTGCTAGTTAGATTAATGCCTGTCCTTGTTGATGTAATCATGCAAGATTTATCAAAACAGCGTCACTGAATACAGTTTCTACACTTCTGCATTCTTAATTCTTTCCGTTAAAGAAATTTCACGCTTTATTGAGAAAGAGCGAAGCTTGAGGAAGGAGGAGGCTGTGGGAAGGCTATTTGTGCCAGGAACCACCAGCATGGCAGGCGTCTCCTCCCTTCTCAGACATTACCTGCAGCCCCTCTGACAATACAGCTGTACTACCCTAATATCCTCCACAAACATACACCTCTGACTTGGGTATTGTTTTACAGAAGTTAGCAGGACCAGTCTTGTCCTTAAAAGTGCTTACATGCATGTTCACATGTAGGACAGGAGCCAAGGCAAATAAATGTATCTATTTCATAATGAGTTTTTGACTTTGTCTTTTTTTTTTTTTTTTTTTTAATTTGCAAGTTCTTTTTTTTTCAGCAAATAAAACAGCTTGTGTAGAATTACTCATCTAATCAGATCTACTAATGTTACTTCTAAACAGACACGGAAGAGATCTGGAAAGGAGACTTGAATGAATAGAGAAGTAATTGAATATAGTGTCAATTGTAATAGAGTAAAATGGACTTTCTGCAGAACAAGACCTTGGCTTCCTCTGTTGTTGCTGAGGTCTATTTGAAGTGGAAATGTTTCAAACACAGCTCTTGCTTGTAGTTCAAGGTTGTGATATTGAATTTGAGTAGTTACACAGGCAAAGTACATGAGTATTTCACAAAGCCAGTTTTGGTAGCAGGGAATGTGTTGCTGTCTAAAGGTCATTAATTAGTATTTGCTGTTAACGTGTTGGGAAATCTTATCTTATTGAAGAAAGCAAATTGAACTTGAAGATATAATATGCACACTAGTTTTTTCTCAAGGATTTTTGTTTTGTTTCTACATAACTCCATTCATAAATCATTTCAGTTCGCATCCTAGAGTTATTTATACAATAAATAAACTTTTTGTGTGAGGGGGAGATGTCTGAGTATTTCACAGAATTAAGTGAAGGAAAGGAGATATTTTTTCCTCCATTGTGAACTGTAATTATTTCTGTGATGGTTGTTTGACTGCACTCAAAGTTATGCCGCACCTGAAGGATGTGGTAACATAAAGCAACTTGCTGGCTTTATGCTACTTCTGGATTTCATTTCCAGTGAAAGATATTGTAATTTTTTGTTGTTGTACTTTCAGAGGTACAAAGCAGTTTAACTAAAGGATTAGGCTGTTTGACTTGAATGGAGAAGGAAAAAGCGTGTAGCTATCTGCAGTGTGATGAAGACAGCAATATGCTTAGGTTTATAGATTTCCTTTTGCTTTTCATCTGTACGGTCTGTGAAGCTGCTCTAAAAGAAGTGGGATTGTGCTATGGAATTGTGAAATGAAAAAATATTTTAATATTTTGCTAGTTGATCCATATAAGATAAAATGTGTTGCATTTTGTTGTAAAATACTACTTTCTCTCTGTAGAAATACTTTCAAAACATTTTTTTTCTTTCAGAAAATGCATGTAAAATCTTTGAAGTTCTTTTACTGAAGGATAGTTTGTGGACCTTGTGCGAAGTCTGACTTTTTTTAAGGTCTGCTGAGGCTATTATGTAAAAGCTCATTATTCTGTCCCTCAAGCATGGACAGATTTGTTCTATAATTGTGTAAAATGTGAGGATTGATGGAGAACTTTCTGGTTATGCGTTCCAATCTGGACAGTTTTGTTCCTAATACTGTGAAATGGAACGTAACGCAGTCCAAAGCTAAGGTATAGTTTGAATGCACAAGTTACAAACGTATGCAGTGCAGAGTTTCCCAGACCACTTCAGTATGGTGCTGCTTTACAAGTTCTCACGTGCTTGCCTACTGTTATATCAGGTAGGGGTACAGGTCACTTTTATTTCATACTGTGATGAATCAGTAAGCATTTGAGTGGAATCATCTGTGGTATCATAGTTCATAACATGTCCAGGAATTGATATGTCCATAAAGATCTACTCCTTACTGTATAGTCGTGGAAGCAGTTAGGAGAGATTACGGTTAGACCCTATCAGTTGTTATGTATGTAGATTGCTCTGAAAGTAATGCCTCTGATTTTTTTCCATGGAAACTACAACTGATACGAAGAGCACAACAACACTATTTAATAGAACAGTCTCAACTACAAACACCTGTTTTTCAGCGTAGTCGCCACCATTAACTATGTGTTTTTACCAATGCATACTGAGCTTGTCAAATTCTGTACCAGTGAAGGTTACCCTCTGTTGCCACTGCTGAAACACCACACACCACCTCACTGTGCTCACATCCACCATTTGCTCACTGGATGTGACTACATAAACGTTCAGGAAGTGTCAGTGAATGTCAGTGGGTACGATATTTTCCACATGGAGGAATTCAGTGACACACTTTTGCTTCATGTGTGTTTCCATGTCAGATGCTGTTGCATGTGTCAGACTGCATCTCTGCTACCATCTGTCACACAGCAGTGCAATGTAATGGAATACTGGCAGGAAGACTCAGCCTCTACTGCCATCCTGCCATTGCGGGCAAACATAATAAATAAGAGGCATTACTTTTGGAGCAGCCCTCATATTTTTAGTTGTGCAAGCTGTGAATTCCATGTTTCTTGCTGGGATTTCTGAAGCCAAAACACACGTAAAAACAAGGGTCATCTGTTCCATGCAAGCTGAGCAAGGTTGGGAGGTGATGGATGGGCTTAGCAAGCTCAGGCTGGCTTGCTTGACTCATGCATGGTATGACTACAAGTTGAACTTGGGGCACAACCATCATAAAGTTAATCTGTGAATGACTATAACTGATAAGTGACCATTTTACTAGGGATTCCTTGAGTGCTTTCACTCCAGCTATGCGTCAGGATCTCTAGAAGTTTTGTGGCAATTGAACAAAAAAAGTGGTTAGTTGTAGGCCATGCCTCAAAGGCATCAGCAACAGTAGAATCTGCAGGTTTAAGCAGGATGATCATACACTTGGGAATACCTGTAAGTTTACAATGTGCCATTAACAAATACTGTTCTGATGTCCCATATTCATAAAAGGCTGTTTAGTTTGCTGGACAAATACACTTTTTTTGCTGAATTGGTAAGAGGCTAGAAGCATCTGCTGGTACCTCATTCAGATTCTAGCTTAACATTCATAAAATACAGTTGTTACATACTGCAAATTAATATAATTATAGAATCATAGAATATCTTAAGTTCTAAGAGATGCACGAAGATCACTGAGTCCAACCTCTGACTCCATGCAGGACCACCTGAAATCCAAACCCTATGTCTGAGAGCGTTGTCTAAATGCTTTTGGGCTGTGCTTGCTGCCCTGTGCAGCCTGTTCCATGCCCACCAACCTTCTGGTGCAGACCCTTTCCCTCACCCTCAGCTGCCCTTCCCTGACGCAGCTCCATGCCGTTCTCTCAGCCCTGTCGCTGCCACACACAGCAGAGCTCAGCGCTGCCCTCCGCTCCCTGTGAGGAGCTGCAGCCACCATGAGGGCTCCCCTCAGCTCTTCTGCTCTGGGCTGAGCAAACACAGGGACCTCAGCCACTCCTCACATGATTTGCCCTCCAAGCTCTTCACCATCTTTGTATCTCTCCTGTGGACCCCTGGTAGTTTTTTTGTCCTTCTTGTGTTGTGGCACCCAGAGTTGCACTCAGTGCTCGAGGTGAGGCCACACAGCACAGACAGCCAGCTAGCAGTGTATGATGCACCAGTTGCAAATATTACATCTGTTTTCCTTTATAAATTCTTTATGTATGTGCTTGTTAAAGCCAGACAGTTATTTCTGCGAGAATCTACTTCTTGATACTTTAAAATGAGTTTATTGCTTACTACCTGATTTATTATCTGTGATGGAACAAGAAAGACCAAGCTGTATTAGGGTTATATTCATCTGTGTGACAGGGTTTTTTACCCTCATTTTTGGTTACAAGACTGTTAGGCACTGAAATTGTTAAACTAAGTCTGATCAGTTGTTGAACACAGGCTGGAGGATACAGCCATTGTGTGTTTACATTTTATTAGAGTTCGTGATTCTCCTTGAGGGATTTGGGAGCCTGATGTGCTGCATTGTTGCAAAATCGGGGTGAAATGTGTTTCCCACTGCCATTAATTTTAATTTGAAGACTAACTTTAATAACCAGAATGTTGTGAGTGGTAATTCAGTTTTGAGTTCTGCTTGGAGGTGCCAGAAAATCTGTCCGATACCTTGGGTATTAAGCATCTGCTATCTTTAAGTGATGCCATGAGCATCACAAGCACCCCAGATTTTGGAGACGTCTCGTTTGACATACCTGAAAATCAGTAAATATGTGAGAATTCTGGCTTTAATTTTTCTGAGTATAGTATTGCCATTTTGTAGATGAAGGAGATCTAAGGCTAAGAAACACATTATTGGGAAGTTGTAAAGTTTACGTGCTTAGTTACAAATGATACAGCTGTACTTAACAGAATAACACAGGATTAACTTCTGGCAAAAACAGCCTTTTCTGACATCAATTTAATGAATCAGTGTTTCTGGTGCTGATAAGTAAACAAAATAAGTGCCAAATCAGCATGGGATGGCTAGCGGTAACTGGCAGCCAAAGGAAGAAAAAGCGGGCAGGAAGATGGGGAGACAGAAAATGGTGAGCCTTTGCTGATGGTTTTGCCTTGTGGTGTGGCAGCTCTGGGTGCTGTGCGGATGGGGATGGTGCAGGTTAGCTGGCGAAGGGCTCACATGGTGGCAGCTAATCCACGCATCTCAGTGACTCCACTCAGCCTCTGGCTGGTTGGAGAAATGACTAATGCCAGTAGCCGTGTATCACAGGTGGCTGCCAGCTGCTGGGGTATCCTGTGAGTAAAATCACCTCATCTCTGGCACTGCAATGGTTCTTGTTCGGTGCGTAAAAATTGCACGCAGGGGTTCCGGGCCGTTGCTGGGTTAGACAGCTTGTGTCAGAGCAGCACAGGGGTGGTGGGCAGGCACCCAGCAAGGCGGTGTGGTGGGAGCTGGGGAGTATGTTTGTGGGATGGCTGTGGGCATAGCGGTCTGTCCCGGCCGGGGGGCGGCTGGGGTTCCACAGGGAGTACCCCGATTCTCACTGTCCCGCGACATTAGTGCTCTGGGTCAGCTGGCCATCTTTACTGTGGGCTGTGTAATGGGAACTCCACACCTATTTGCTACCTCGATGACATTTTTAAAATTATCACGGGCGATCACGCTTCCTCGCGTGGGGAAGGGACGTGACAGCAGAGGAGGGGTGGGTTAGGCGCTGCTCTCTGCCCGCATCAAAGATGGCGGCCGGGGCGCGGGGCGGGCAGCGCCGTCCGGTACCGCGCTTCCGAACCGGGGCGTGAGGCCGGCCGCCCGCACCCCCTTTTGCCGCTCGCTCCCCTCGCCAC